CACCTTTTCCTGCTCAGCCCTGACGGCCTCAGCTCAGGCCCCAGGTGGGTCCGCTTTTTTAGGTTCTAGCTCAGGACCTTCCTCCCTGCTCCCATCCCCCGTCCTGCCAGCTTCCTTCCCTCCCATTGCCCCTCCCCCCTGGTTATTACTCTGTCATCCTCAGTCTACCTAATGCCTCAGGAGACGCAAGCAGAAACCATTAGCCCTTCTAATTCTGCCAGGAAACGGAGAAGGGTTTGGGGATATTTCCTTGGGGAAGGACGGTGAAATAGAGTATGGTATCCTGGAGCGGGCCTGAGGTCTGGGGTATTAGTTTTATTCATTGCATTATTTGTTGTTGTTGCTAGTTTGTTTCTATTATAAAAGCAAGTGGTGTTTGGATTAAGATTAGAAATTAGAGAAGGGGAAAAAAACTCAGTCATAATCCCACCACTCACAGATGACACTGCTAACACACTGATGTATGTCCTTGCAGACTTTTTCTACGCATAGTTAGAACCCCTCACACGGTTTACTTTATAAAATTGGAATCATACTGCAACTGCATGTCTCACTGCATAGCCTCTTATGAATGGCATCCATGTCTGTAAATGTAGATCTACATCATCATGTATAACATTCCATTGCATGGCTGTGTCTAACTGTTCATTTATTGATGGACATTTCAGTTTTTTTTCTAATTTCTCACTGCTTTACTTATAACAACTGTGACATTCAAGTTATGTCTGTTCCTCCTTCAAACTGTCCGCCTCAAATCTCTCTTCTGCTTCACTCCCACACCCTCCCCCAGCCCAAACTCCACTCCAACCTGCCTAAGCCATTATACTAGGCTCCTAACTGACCTCCGTACTGCCACCACTCTCTGCGCCTTCCATTTAGCACAGAGATGCCAGAATAATTTTCCTAAATGCTGATACCATCGTCTCACCCCCCTGCTTAAAGGCCTTCAATGACAACCTCACCCCAGGAGGATTCTGTCCATGACCGCTTCAGAATATTACATGGCCAGTGGGGAGGCGGGGAGGGTGGTGGGAGGTGGCTAAAGGAAGGCGAGTGAATGATTAAGTGAGGATAAGGGCCTTGCTCTGAAGCCTCATTACATAGCAAGCACTTGCTTTACTCGTGTCACGCGTTCATTGTGGAAGCCTGTGGCTGCTAATGGGCATCGTGGAGTGAGCCCCTCCTTGTTCCATGCCCTCTTCTGGACGCGCCCTCTACTTCCTAGCACTCAAGCCTTCCTTCAGGCCTTTTCATTTCTGTCCTTCTGGCTCCCTCGGAAGCAGCCCGGCGAGATGTCAGGCCTGCTCTCCGTCTTCCTCCACCTCTGCCTTCTCTGCAAGTTGGCGGCCCCGGTGACCTTCCGCCACCGCCGCTACGACGACCTCGTGCGGACGCTGTACAAGGTGCACAACGAGTGCCCCCACATCACGCGTGTCTACAGCGTGGGGCGCAGCGTGAAGGGGAGACACCTCTACGTGCTGGAATTCAGCGACTACCCTGGGATCCACGAGCCCCGTAAGCCCCGAGCTGTCCTGGGAGTGTGGAGGGCAGGACCCTTCCTCACAAATCCCGTCCCAGGGGTGAGAGTGGGGAGGCCCCGGACCCTCCACCTACCAAAGAGCACCTCACGCGTGTCTACAGCGTGGGGCGCAGCGTGAAGGGGAGACACCTCTACGTGCTGGAATTCAGCGACTACCCTGGGATCCACGAGCCCCGTAAGCCCCGAGCTGTCCTGGGAGTGTGGAGGGCAGGACCCTTCCTCACAAATCCCGTCCCAGGGGTGAGAGTGGGGAGGCCCCGGACCCTCCACCTACCAAAGAGCACCCCACCCCCAATAACATTCCATTGCATGGCTGTGTCTAACTGTTCATTTATTGATGGACATTTCAGTTTTTTTTCTAATTTCTCATTGGCTGTATAACATTCCATTGCATGGTTGTATCTAACTGTTCATTTAGTGATGGACATTTCAGTTTTTTTTCTAATTTCTCACTGCTTTACTTATAACAACTGTGACATTCAAGTTATGTCTGTTCCTCCTTCAAACTGTCCGCCTCAAATCTCTCTTCTGCTTCACTCCCACACCCTCCCCCAGCCCAAACTCCACTCCAACCTGCCTAAGCCATTATACTAGGCTCCTAACTGACCTCCGTACTGCCACCACTCTCTGCGCCTTCCATTTAGCACAGAGATGCCAGAATAATTTTCCTAAATGCTGATACCATCGTCTCACCCCCCTGCTTAAAGGCCTTCAATGACAACCTCACCCCAGGAGGATTCTGTCCATGACCGCTTCAGAATATTACATGGCCAGTGGGGAGGCGGGGAGGGTGGTGGGAGGTGGCTAAAGGAAGGCGAGTGAATGATTAAGTGAGGATAAGGGCCTTGCTCTGAAGCCTCATTACATAGCAAGCACTTGCTTTACTCGTGTCACGCGTTCATTGTGGAAGCCTGTGGCTGCTAATGGGCATCGTGGAGTGAGCCCCTCCTTGTTCCATGCCCTCTTCTGGACGCGCCCTCTACTTCCTAGCACTCAAGCCTTCCTTCAGGCCTTTTCATTTCTGTCCTTCTTTTCTCTGATGCCTATAACTTAGCTTTTCATCTACTTGTTCCTTTCATTTATTCGTTATTCATTCCACAAACTAGAGGCCCGGTGCACGAATTCGTGCATGGGTGGGGTCCCTCTTGGTGACCTGCAGGGATCAGGCTGAAACCCGCAGTCCAATGCCACCTGCAGCTCCTACCTGCTGCTCCTGCTCAGCCCGGCCCCACTGTGCCTGCTGGGGGCTCGCGCCCAATCAGTCCCAATTGGGAGAGGCTCACTCTGCTGCAGCAGCGCTTGCCAGCCATGAGCCCTGCACCTGGCGCCCTCCAAAGGGGAGTGGCCCGTGGGAGCGGGCTGAAACCAGCTCTTCGACATCCCCTGAGGGGTCCTGGATTGTGAGAGGGTGCAGGCCAGGCTGAGGGATCCCACCAGGGCACAATTGGGCCGGGGAGGGACCATGGGAAAGCTGCAGGACATGTCTGGCCCATCTTGCTCAGTCTGTAGCAAGCTAACCTACTGGTCAGAGCATCTGCCCCCTGGTGGTCAGTGCATGTCATAGCGACTGGTCAACTGTCTGCCCCCTGGTGGTCAGTGCACATCATAGCCAGCAGTTGAGCATTCTTAGCATATCATTACCATATTATGCTTTGATTGGTTGTTCAGTTGTTCTGCCATTTGGTCTATTTGCATATTACCCTTTTATTATACAGGATATTACTGATTATGACTATATGCAAGCACTTTTATAAATTCTGAATATACAACAGAGAATAAAACGAAGACACTGCTCTCAGGGCTTTAATTCTAGCTGGGTAATACTGGCAATAGATGGATATCTATATAATAAAAGGGTAATATGCAAATTGACCCTAACAGCAGAACAACTGGGAATGACTGGTCACTATGACACACACTGACCACCAGGGGGCAGACGCTCAATGCAGGAGATGCCCCCTGGTGGTCAGTTCTCTGCCACCA